AGGTGGTCATGTGATTCAGTATGGATAAAACCTCATAGTTTCACAATATTATAGCATGTATGGGAACTAACTAATTTAAGTTTGAACCCATCTGTCTGAACATGGGTGTGCTGATCTCCATACAGCTAAATGTCCCTATAATCACTTCTGGTGTCATTGCAGTCAACACCAACTTTTCATTGATGCACGCTGAGCCATTCACATTACTTACCCCTAAATGAGCTCACAATTTAATAAAGCTACTAGGGTTGTATATACAGTACTGTACATGTGTATACACACACATTGTAGGAGAAGAATTTAGAAGCCAGTCAAAGTGCAAGTATGCTTTTGAAATTTGGGATGAAACTGAAGCAATAGGAGAAAACCTACAGAAACTTAGGGGGTAAACTACAAACACAGTTATAGTACTGCTGGCGGAAATTGAACAAAAGATCAGTTGTTTAAAGAGACTCCACTACTTCTACCATTCGGTGCAAAGCTACAAAATCTCTTGAAAGCCCACCCACACACTTATGAATTAACCCTTTGGTACTGGCTGCCTCCTGGCCCTTTCAAAGGTTTAAAAGTCGGGAGGCAGAGGAGGGCCTTTGGGTAATGTACCTGCTATGATTGGCTGTCCCGGAAGTCACATGATCGGCAAGCTCCTGATCAGAAGTATGCAGCATGAGCTTACAGATCACCACCAACTACTGTGCTGGGAGTGTGCTCTCAGCACAGTAAGAGGTTTTAGCAGGACTACATATATGCAGCCATTTGACATTAAGTCCCACACACCGAGCAGTCACATATATGCATGCAAGTGGTTGGTGTCAAGAGGTAAACTCTGTGGAAAATCTGTGTCCAATAGTGTCCTATATTACACAGAGTTATTGACATCTTCTTCTTCCTCAGTGTATCCTAGAAGGCATTTACACGCTTCCCCATACCTAGAAGCAGGTGTTTTATTAGGGCACTGACAGAGTGATTGACAAATGTGGCAGAGGGGGGTATAAATGGGTAGGTGGATCACTTTGTCCCAAAATCTCTTTAGATCTGCATACATTTGGTACAAAGATCCCTAGTTATGTTAGATCCTCAATGTTATTTTAGATTTGACCAGTTGCATTCATGTTTTTTTTTAATTAATATGTTATAGCACTTTTCTCCATGAGGAATCAAAGTGCTTTGGACAGCCATCTTGGATGAGCTTAGTAGAATATTATAGTAAGGCCAGTTTTGGACATGAGCCAATTAACCTAAGACCCATGTCTTTCAAATGTAGGAGGAAACTTATGCAAGGGAGGAAATTCAAACTCTATGCAGATAATGTCCTGATCAGGACTTGAACTGAGCACCCCAGTGGGCCATACATATATATTCGATTTAGTGTTACAATACCTGATCAATTTTATGCATCTGCTTTAGATCTTGAAATGTGTTTATGTTATTTGGTGAACAAAATAGCTGTCTGAGAGCTATAATATATACCTAACATGAACATAGAAGGCCCCTTTCACACTAAGGGTCCAATTAGGTCAACCTGTCAGTTTTTCAGGTGAACATGATTGGGCAATCCATTCACTTCTGTAGATTGTTGGGTGTAAACAGACTTCCGTTTACACTTGCCTATCAACTGCTTCAAAACAAATTGGAGGGCAATCAGGTGTAAACGGACAGAGGAATCTGTTTACAATTGGAGCACACTCTACACATAGAGCAGACGCCCGTTCTGTTCGTGTCCACTCTGCGTAAACTGAGCGGACAGCAGTCATCCACCCGCTCTGCTCTGCCTGAGGTGCCCTGCTGATCTTAACTAAGTTCACCTCATGTGAAAGGGGATGAAGGCTTTTAATAGATTTATTAGTTTACAATTTCTGAAATTATACCCAATAAGTTCACAAAGAGAAGGATGTTATAAATATTTTATTAGCTTGACTGGATTACAACCTTTTGTACATCACATTTGCATAAATTCTCAAGTTACATCTTGTGTACAACCACAAAAACTATGACATGGATTTTTACATTAAATGAAGAAACATTAACAGATTTACAGGCAGATCTCTATACAGTTCATTAATTTTTAACTCATTTGTACAACTGTTTTTAACAAATGATCTTAAAGGGAGTAGAAGGGGGAAAAAAAATCTAGGATGACAATAATAAAAATACACAAATATGGGCAGACTTCCATCAACGCATGCAACATTCATGTGAAAACATTTATTTCAGGACACTACAGAATTTACGTAATTTAAATATATTTTTTTTACATTTTCTTCATATATATCTCTTATTTTTCAGGCTCTCTGTACAGATTCTCAATGAATGACAACAAACACGCTGTTCAACCATTGCTGGTTCATCATCTGAGCACATCACATATCAATTTTACATGTACAATTGAACAGAATGCTCACATTCACATGCTGAATGCCTAATGGAATTAGAATCCCTCAGTCCTTCTCATCTTTCTACAAAAAAATGTAGACTTATTTACACAATAACAAAAGGTACTTGCTCCTAACAACATAGTCAGAATTTGTTAGAACAGCAAAGCACAGACTAATGTTTCTAATAAAGTCTTAGAGAGAGGGTATTCATTTTGTCTGGCCCTTTTTATGTAGTTTTGTTCATAATAGCAGGATTTTCTTTGTGTTAAGAGTAAAATAAAACTTATTTGGATTCGTTTCACTGAAAAAGACAATAGTATTCAAAAAATACCTGAAACAATGCAACTTAAGCATATCTGAGATGTTGATAAAACATCAGGCACTATTAATGTCTGTTTTATTATGACTTGTAGGTGTGTCGGTGTGCAGGGTAAAATAACATGCAATTTATATTTAAACTGGTATTTTCTTGTCTGCAACTAAGTTTTCATTCTTTTACTTGTATTCATTTTGTGTGCTTAAATAAGGTTATGTTTCAAGTACTGCAAACAATTAAAAAGAGGGAGATATCATCTCTTTAATCTGCAGTCATGGAATACTTTTTGACTCATGCTTAGCATCCAAAACTCATCATTTCCAAACGAGGTCACTGAACAAAAAACTAACGTAAAGAACTATATAAATCTCACTCACTTATAATCACGCACACTGTGCTTTTTGCTTAGTTTTTATTTCTGCGGATCAGTCTGAACTCTAAAATTTGCCTTGCTTTGCATATAAATAAACATATATTTAAATATTTTTTTTTATCTTGGCTCTATTTATAAAATTAATATCAAGAGAGGACTAGTTGTCAACAAACATCTGGATCTATGTAATCACTTCTAGGAGAAGCAAAAGCAATAAACACCATTAATGTGTTCAAATATATGTGCAAAAACAAAAATACTGATAGTTGTTTCATACACAAAAAAAGTTTTTTGTATTTTTTTTTTTTGTTTTTTACACAATTTTTTTTGTCATTTTCACTTACAGAAAAAGCATTGATACATCAATGTTGCATAGAATACTTCCATAACTCAAGAATTTGGTTTAACACGTTGTTGGCACACTTCGGAAGCATATTATACACTGCTTATATAAGTCATTGATGCACCAAAACATTGTGACTCGCTCTGTTTGACAGATGACAGATGCATCTGTAAAATTTCATGTGTTTAAGAGGTACTAATTCTAGGGTATGTCCAAGCTAAGGAAACACCACTGGGTCTACTTGCAGTTTCTCTATACTCTACATGGCCTGGAAAGAAAGAAACAAAATATGTGAAATGTTATGGTGCTCCAGGGAACAAACACTGTTATGTCATTGGAATGTAGTGAATGAAAAGCAAAGCAAAGGTAGCTCTGCTAATTTAGTGTTGATTACAGGTTTCCTTGCAAAGAATCTGTATTTGTGCTATCATTCTGAAATGATGTCTCCGTGGCAACCATTCGCATGCTTTGCAGTCTTTTACAGTAATGCACAGCATAAAATAATTGCAGTTTAAAAAATGCACTATTGGAGGCTTTTGAATGGAATACCAGAAACAAATTCTTCATAATGGAAACAGGACTGAAAAGGAAAAACAAACAAATATTCCATTTACAATGATTTAATCTGACATTAAGTGACCTTCATTTTGACAGAAACCACTTATGAACACACTGTGTGATAGGCAGTATGTATGTACATTAGTGACTGTAGCAATTAACAGTACATTTTCAACATACCCATCAATCATTCACCTGAGTTACTAAGAGAAAATTCAGAACATCATTGCTTTCTATATCCTTCTCTTAACTAAAAGGTGTCATGTAGAACAACACACAGGCTCCTTTTCTTTATTTATGTTACTGAAACCCACCTTCTGTTTTGTGCCGCAGCGTTACTTTATGCTTTGACAGACACTTTTTTATTTTTTTATTTTATTTTTTTTGCTATTTAAACCAATTAATCAGAAATTGCAGTATCTGACATATACTAATATAATCCCGCAACAAGTACTGAGCTCTCATGTTTGCAATTTGAATCACAAAATAAAAGATAGGCACTGCACGTTAACTGTACGGTAACTGTACACGTGGCATAGAGAGAGAACATTACCTGGAAATTAGAGGAAGGAACTATACTGTTTATTCCTGTACATATGCCAACTCCAAGAAACACCATAAACAGCATTTTATATTATCTATCAATGGAAAACATCTAAGGTGCAAATTAGTTTAAACATATATTGAGTGTTATTATTTATTTTCTTATTATAACCCTTATTTTATATTGCCTTATTTTCAAGTGCTTCTAAGCTGCTCTGTTGAATGAAACAAAATAGAACTAGTAAAGCACTTGGATACTCTAATCTGAAAACATGACCAATCTTCTAGACACCAGCTTTATTTATCGTCAAGCCCTACAAGTTGTCATTTATTATTAGCAAACGCATCTTATTTCTCATTGACTGCAAAACATGTCAACAGAGATTTCAAAGCACGGTTTGAAACATGTGCAAACTTTGTTTTCTAGGCAGTCTTTAATTCCACTGAAACTAAATTAATTCCAGACGTTTTGCTTCCAGCTAATAGTGTTGTTCAGTGTGTTTGAGCAGAGCTGGCTAAAAGTTTGTGCCAATTTACTATCCTTTTTCGAAGGTCCACTTTGTCCAGCCAAATATAAGCTTCACCTATAAGAGTTTTCTTCATAAACTTCCCTCCATTTGAAGCAAGCAAAATCTATTGAAAATTAAATTAAGAATAAGATTTTTAGACATTTTTGAAAAGTACATGTATGTACCAAATTGAGAAAAAATTATACTTACAAATATACATTCAGTGAAAAAGGCAATGGTAGAATTATATTTTAAAAATATTAACCACTTCACATCCTCAGGCTGTATATATATATATATATATATATATATATATATATATATACATATATTGCCTAAGGATCAAGCTGCAGCCATAATCCTGGTATCAACATATTCAGCTGGTGTTGGGCTTTCAGGTAAAATTGATCTATACTGCAACCAGATTACTTTTACAGGGCTGAGAAGGGGGCTCCCCACCTGCCGCCACCAGTGGGACAGGTAATCTCAGGACTACTGCAAACAGTAAGAGGAGAAGGGGGAACAAAAAATGTAAATAAAATAAATAATAAAATAACATTTAAAGCACCTCATCTCTGCTCATGTGCAAATGAAAATGCAAATAAGCACATAGGTCCTGCACCATATGTACAGTGATTGCACCACACCACATGTGGTATCACCACAAATGTGTGAGAGCAATAACATCGCCTGACCCAGGGGAAAGAGCAGTTCTGTACATTGGAAGCATGCTGTATCTGAGCTCTGATTTCTAGTATACAAGTTAAGAGGGAGTGGGGATTTTTTCCGCCGCTGCCCCCCCCCTTCCCCCAATGGAAGGGACACTAAGTACAGGGGTGGGCAGCGGCTGTTTTCTTACCTGGTTCCGGTCCCACGACGATCCGGTCCAGGAAGCGCGGCTGCGCCTTCAGTTCGGCCCCTGGATGTTTGTGCGGCTGCTCCCCAATGGAAGGGACACTAAGTACAGGGGTGGGCAGCGGCTGTTTCTTACCTGGTTCCGGTCCCACGACGATCCGGTCCAGGAAGCGCGGCTGCGCCTTCAGTTCGGCCACTGGATGTTCGTGCGGCTGCTCGGCTCCGCCTCCTCACCAGTGATTGGCCGCCAGAACTGTAGCTCAGGAAAGGCACACAGGCGGCCAATCACCGGCGAGGGGGTGAGCCGAGCGGCCCCCCGCGAAAATCGAGTGCAGGACCAGCAGGTAAGTGGTCAGTGTAGAGGTGCTGCTGCAACCACATATGCTGGCTGCAGCAGCACCATACGAGAACAGGGTCAGCAAGTGTCAGTGGGAGGAATAGTGCCCCATCATTGGTGTCACTGATACCAATGATGGAGCACTATTCCTCCCCCACTGATACCAATGATGGGGCACTATTCCTCCCACTGACACCAACGATGGGGCACTATTCCTCCCACTGACACCAACGATGGGGCACTATTCCTCCCCCCCACTGACACCAACGATGGGGCACTATTCCTCCCCCCCACTGACACCAACGATGGGGCACTATTCCTCCCATCCACTGACACCAACGATGGGGCACTATTCCTCCCCCCCACTGACATCAACGATGGGGCACTATTCCCCCCCCCCACTGACACCAATGATGGGGCACTATTCCACCCCCCACTGACACCAATGATGGGACACCATTCCTCCCACTGACACCAATGTTGGGACACCATTCCTCCCACTGACACCAATGATGGGGCACTATTCCCCCCACTGATACCAATGATGGGGCACTATTCCCCCCACTGATACTAATGATGGGGCACTATTCCTCCCACTGACACCAATGATGGGACACTATTCCTGTCACTGATACCAATGATGGGGCACTATTCCCCCCACTGAAACTAATGATGGGGCACTATTCCTCCCACTGACACCAATGATGGGGCACTATTCCTGCCACTGATACCAATGATGGGGCACTATTCCTCCCACTGACACCAATGATGGGGCACTATTCCTGCCACTGATACCAATGATGGGGCACTATTCCTGCCACTGGTGTGCATTGGAAGAGGGGTAGTCTTTTACGGCGAGTATAGCTCAAACACTAAATTTTAGCAGGAAAAGTAGGGGGGTCGTCTTATACGCCCAGTCGTCTTATACGCCGGCAAATACGGTACTTATTTTACATAATGTGTGTATAGTTTATTTTAAGCTTCTATATACTATGGGTGATCAAAATTTCATTCGGTAGAAAATTACAGCCTTACCTGCAGCGAATGTCCAGCAGGACTCATGCTAAAACGAAATGTCTCATTAAACGAAGGTTCTCGATCATGCCTACAGACCCTGGTTTTCTTCTTTATTATTCGCTTCTGAGTTGCTATATTAATGACGTAGAGTTTCACATACAGATCTGAAAAATTATTATGCAGATTAAAGGAATGACTACAGCTTCTCATGCGCTTCTGTTTGTAACTTTTTAAATGCATTTTATACTTATTACAGGGGTGCAGGGGTGAACTGACCATTTGGGCACTCAGGCACTGCCCGAGGGCCCAGGGTCAGTAGGGGACCCCATGAGATCCCCCTTTTACCTTTTCAATGGTTTTTTTGGGTGTGGTTTGAGTGTAGGTGAGGACACAGGGGCCCCATGATCCCCTATTGACCGGGGGCCCCATGAGTTGTCAGTCCGCCCCTGCAGGGGCGTGCCTGGTCATACTATGTATCCACCAAACCTTAACACATACGCACCACATACACATACACAGACACACACACATGCACCGAGTAACAGGTTGGGTAACTGAGCTGTTATGGAACTTAATGCAATTGAGAGTTCACACACAAATAATGGTCACTGGACATTTAACTAGTTATCTGTACATGTTCTTAGTGCGCAGGTCCAGCGAACACTTAAAACAACGCTAGCCAAACAAATATATGTGAACTATTTTGCCAGAAACATTAGTGATTCTGTTCAACCAGTTTTGTGAATCACACCCCCTGCCACACTACATAGCTAGAAGGGTGAGATCACTTTCTCTGTGAAGGTTAAAGTATACTTTATACTGTGGTGTCCATGCCCCAGTCTGTTGACTTTACAATGAAGGAGCAGAAGCACTATGAGACCATCTCTGTGAACGCCCCTGCAAGAATGTTCCCTGTGCAATCCATTGGAACCTGGAAATCCAATAGAACATGACTAGTTTACAGTACTGTTCCTCCCTCTGCCATTCTAACTGCTGACGTGTAATATATTACAAAAGGCTGTTACATAGACAAGTTTGGGTAGCAGTTGTATTTAAAAAATACCTAATGTTTTCTTCAATGAACACATTACCTTTTCTTAAATATCTGCCTGAATCTTAGCTTTAATTTAGGATGCAGACGGTAAGAGGAGATTAAATTATGAGTGAGATAAAAAATTTCGCTGAGATCAGTACACCAAATAGGACAGCATGACTTCCCAGCCAAGCAGAGTATAAAATCTTAGGCACATACAAGATTCATACAACCCAAATTAGGCAAATTAAGTTAAAAAATATATTTATGGTGTCAGTATGTTGTTTCTGACTTGCAGCAGAAAAGAGAAGCAGATTAAATAAGCTTTTACAAAGGCAAATAGTGGGAAAAAATAAACTAATAGCACCAAATAAACCAAAATTTAAATTTGGATATTGCTGGCTTACTTTTGAAGGTGCAAACTCTAAGCCTTACATTTTCATCTTTTCTTGATTACTTATAGGATAATTGATTTGGATAAAAATATACAGGTCAGAATTTCTACAATATAGTCATTATGTATGAGGTGGGTTTGCCTATCATCTGTACCTATGGGACCATAGACAGAACACTTTAGCAAGCATAATTAAATAATGAACACTATACTCAAATATTTGGATTGAAATGGCCAGGGCTCTTATTATCTTATTGGTAATAAATAATAGTAAATTAATAAATATATATGGCACACCAATAATATAATTATAACCTGTTAAATAAATACCCGACCTACACCAATACATATAAATAACTCAGCAATTACAGCTCGAGTTAAATAAGTTAAAAAAAATAAATACTGTCCCTTTCAAGAGAAAGAGACTAAAACCACATAACAAGGACTGAAACAATGGAAGGAAGGGTGGCACATTCCTTCTTTTCATGTCTCTACTGAACTGACAACTGATAGCACAGTCTTTTTTCTTATATAGGATGGCTAAATTCAACAGATGACAGGTTTTCAGCCAATTACAGATACGTATGCAAATTATACATTCCCCCACATTTATTCCAGAATTTTCTTAGGTATGTCATGGCCTCATAGGTGCGGGTAGTGCAAAGTGCTTCCCCTCCCCCTTCCTTATATTGCATTAGAAACGTATGCTATCCAATAGCAAGACGTGTTGGCCATAACACTACATCTATTGCCAGCTCAAACTGTCCACTTATAGCAAGCATATTTGCAAAATTACTTTGGGATTTAATAATCACTGTCATTATACCTGTATTCCTAGATTCAATTTACAAGATTTTATTGAATAGCTTGGTTTACGGATGTCATTTATTTAACCCTAAGTAATGTGAAAGCTAAGAAAAATGCAGATACCTGGTAGATGGTCTGGAGACTTAAATTTATACGTAATATTTCTACACTGTAGTATCTCCACTATCAGCTGCTCTCCATCTGTCTTCATTTCTTTTTTCAGGGCAATTTTAATTTCACCCATGACTTGGGTTTTACCTGAAATAGAATTAAGCAAAAATAAGTTCATTGAACATTTATACAGCATTTTATAGGCCTGTTTAGTAAACATCAGTATCCAAAGTAATAACCAACCAATCAGGACTGATATGTTTTTAATCAAGCTACTGTAAACTGAAATATGTTTGATTGTGATGGGTTATTGCATTCTGCATTTTCTTTAAAAATGAGTAAGATAGTAAAATAATATGCCCTTATTGTTTTGCTCACAAGGGTACCAGTAATCACTTTTCTACCACTGGGTATTCCAATCTATATTTTATTCAAGCTTAACTGTTGTCAAATACAAAAAAATTTCTACTTAAAGCCTTGTAAAAAAATAAATTATTTGTTTCTGGCATATCTTTAGTAGAAGTAACACAATAACTATGAACAATGGCTTTGTGTTAGAGCTTGAAAAACTAAATCAAGCACGTCACGTCTTCAACAAGCTTGAATGAATTAATGTTTGCATGGTGAGCCATTTTCTATTTACTGCTACTATAAGCAATAAACTATACTAGTAATAATTGTCCCCATGCTGTGATAAAAAGAAAAAAGCTCCAAAACTAGAGAATATTGCTACATACAAAGAATAAAGGAGGGTGCATTTCTGTGTAGGAATGCAGCAAGGCAAAAGTATAGATTTTGTTTTTCATGACGGAACCAGGGGCGGACTGACCATTTGAGCACTCGGGCACTGCCTGAGGGCCCGGAGTCAGTAGGGGGCCCCATAAAATGCCCCCTACTGACTAGGCTTTTTTGAGTGTGGGGAAGGACACAGGGGCCCCATGATACCCTATTGCCCGGGGGCCCCATGAGTTGTCAGTCCACCCCTGGAAGGAACATTATAATACATACATGGTCATAGGGAAACAACAACTGTGTGTTTGGCCAAGGCACTGCTTAGTGGTCACTAGGTTGTCTGTAGAGATTAGAGGGTAGCTGGGCATGTGAGCATGATCTGGCCATCATTATGGCAGAATATATATAGGGCATTGCAATGTGTCCCATATGCTTGTACATTCAGCTCTGCCCGCTCAGCAAGCTAATATCAAAGACGCAAAACTGCTGATGCTTCTCATCTTAGTGCATACCAGTTCTTCTCAAATAGTGGGGCGCGCCCGCTCCGTCAAGGGGGGGCGCGTTTGACCTCGGGGAACATACCGTATTTTCCGGCGTATAAGACGACTTTTTGACCCTTGAAAATCTTCTCAAAAGTCGGGGGTCGTCTTATACGCCGGTATACGTTAGGGTGGAACTTTTTAGGGGGGCGGCGCAGTGCCGCCGCCGCCCCCCCCCCTTCCGACAGAAGGGACACTAAGTACAGGGGTGGGCAGAGGGCTGCTGTCTCTTACCTGGCTCCCACGATGATCCATCCAGAAAGCGCTGCTCCTTCCGTCACTCCTCCGGCCACTCACCGTTGATTGGCCGCCAGAACTGTAGCTCAGGAAAGGTACACAGGCGGCCAATCACGGGCGAGGAGGCGGAGCCGAGCGGACACGCGAAAATCGAGTGAGGAAAAAGCCGGTAAGTGTGCAGTGCAGAGGTGCTGCTGCTACCACATATGCTGGCTGCAGCAGCACCATACTGCAACAGGGGTCAGCAAGTGTCATTGGTGTCAGGGGAGGAATAGTGCCGCATCATTGGTGTCACTAATACTAATGATGGGGCATTATTCCTCCCACTGACACCAACGATGGGGCACTATTCCTCCCACTGACACAAACGATGGGGCACTATTCCTCCCCCCCACTGACACCAACGATGGGGCACTATTCCTCTCCCCACTGACAGGGTACTATTCCTCCACTGACACCAATGTTGGGACACTACTCCTCCCACTGACACCAATGTTGGGACACTATTCCTCCCACTGACACCAATGATGGGGCGCTATTCCTCCCACTGACACCAATGATGGGGCGCTATTCCTCCCACTGACACCAATGTTGGGACACTATTCCTCCCACTGACACCAATGATGGGACGCTATTCCTCCCACTGACACCAATGTTGGGACACTATTCCTCCCACTGACACCAATAATGAGGCACTATTCCTCCCACTGACACCAATGATGGGGCGCCAATGATTAGGTCCTAAGTAAATGTTGGTGATCGGTTTGAATTCATTATTATTTATTGATTTTATGTATTTTTTCAGTATCATATGGTTTGACATGTCCAATCAAAAAATGTTTATAGTTTAATTAAGGATTTAATTTTTTTTGAATTTCTAATGCACTTTAAATCTTTTCTGCTACAGTTAATGAAGCTATTCTTTGTTGTAAATTGATCCACATTTCTTTCTTTTTTTATTCTCTTATACGTTAATAAGGATACAGTGTTATGCAGAGGTGTACTTATAACAATTTTATAGACAAATGATACTATTTACAGTCGCGCGGGGGGCACGAAAAGTTTTCTTCTTCCTAGGGGGGGCATGACAGACAATAATTGAGAAGCACTGGTGTATACCAACAATAAGCATCAGTTACTTGACCAATATTCCCCCAGACAGCCCCGAGCCTGCGGGAGTCTGCCTTTCACATGAGATCATTGCCCAATCTGGATGAGTGTCATCTGATGTTTGTGGATTGCTTGCTTGCATTTAGATGTCTATGGAAACTTCCTATATTGTATACTCCCACCTAATGTGGTTGATTTAATAAGGAAAACATGCTGTTCACCTTGCAGGGGGAATTGCACTTTGCAAGGGGATTTGACCCAGAGCTTAATGAATGTGATGAAGTTTCACTTTGCAAAGAATACTTTGCAAAGGATCATGGAAGTTAGCAGAGTTTGATCTCATTCACTAAGCTCTGGGGCAGATTCCCTTACAAAATTGTCTCTTCCTCCCATGCTTGTCTCCAGGACTTCGCCAGAGCTTCCCCCATCCTCTGGAACTCTCTACCCCAATTTATCAGACTATCGCCTACTCTGCTTACTTTTAGGCGATCTCTGAAAACCTATTTCTTCAGGGAATCCTATCCTGCCCTCAGCTAATAATGGAATATTCTACTTGTCCTACCAGTCCATCCCCCACAGTTACTACCTTTTGTACCACTAGCCCCTCCCTCTTAGATTGTAAGCTCCAAGGAGCACAGCCCTCCTAACCCTCTTGTATTGAACTGTATTGTTGCTGTATTGTCTCACATTATATTTTAAAGCACTGAGCAAACTGTTGGCGCTATATAAATCCTGTATAATAATAATAATAGCCTTTTTGTTTAGTAGATCAACCCCCTATATGTCTCACAAACTGTCTGCATTGCTTTACTCAAACAATTCATTTGAAAGTAGAAAACACAGTAGCAGGCCTGAGAACAACACATTTATCCAAGTATAGGAACAAGGTACAGTATGTAGGGATATACTCATTGAGGTGATGACTTCAGCCAATCAGCTTCTACCTTCAGCTTGTTCAGTTAAGCTTTGGCAATAAAACACGGATACTGATTGGTTTCTTTGCAGAGATGCACCAGATTTTGCACTCTTCAGTTTTAGTAAATAACCCCCATTGCATATTGTTGGACCTTTTATTGAGAATATTAGTATAATATCAGTCATCCTTTTAGTAAGATGTGTCAGATACATTTAACTATAAACAAATGTCAGACATTGCTCTGTTGTTCCATAAGGCAGACTTTGTTAATGATTTAATGTCTATTTTTAAAGAATTGGGATATCTGTTGCAATGTTTGGTAACGTTTTTGTAAATAATAATAATTAAGAAAAAGTTAAAAAGCATATAAAATAAAACAGTGCTTATCATCTTTTTGATACATTTCATTATTAAATTTGAAAAAATTAGTCATTGCAAATGTTAAGTTAGAGCTTTCTTAAACTTCCAGATAACTTCACACACATTGGCAAGGGTAACTCAAAATAGAGAAATTCAATTAGCATTACTTTATCAAATGCAAGTAGTAGAAGCTTTATAAAGGGAATGGGAATTTGTTTTTTCTTCCACATGACTGGGTAATTAAAATGAACATAGCTTTACATCATTCACTAAGCTGATACAACTAAGTGAAAATCCACAAAGTGAATATTTATACTTACAATAAATCGTTATTGAACTTTTGTCAGATATACTGTATGTAATACTGTTACAGAGGTTCATTAGTAAGCATAAGTGACAAATTACCAGTATACAATAGGACATGTCATATAAGTCTATTTATATATCTTCATTATTTTTTGTGAGCACATAGAACACTAAAAGCCATACAATACTGTGTTAGCCTTGAAACAATACTACAGTCAACAAAAAGTGATACGAGAAAAAGGTCACTCCAGGGACATCTATGAGAGCTTGCCTATTAAGCAGATCACAGATATGAGGCCTGCAGAATCGAATGTGGAAGGATTGAAAATTGAAGTATGTTCACATAATGAACTCTGCATATAAAAAATAACAAGACAGGAACAGTGAATATGGAGCACAGCAGTCAGGAAAGAAAGCGCAAGGAAGGGAGGAATGACAAAAATATTACAGATTCCAAAACGACCAAAAAGGGGAAGAGGAGAGGAGGGAGGTTATGCCCTGGAAGTCTCCAAGCTGCTTCCCTCATCAAAATAGAAAGTCCATAAGGAGTTGACACTTTTAAACACTAGCTAGGTGGCAAAACTTTTTTTACGGGTATTCAGGAGCATGCCAGTCAATCAGAACAAGCCTATGAATCAGTCAATCTCCACAAATTGGACAAGTTTGCTGCTTCAAAGCTTTGGTGACTGTTTGGCAGCCAATAACAATAAGATGTAAGCAGACAGTTGAAACTGGGATTTAACGACAGAAAGGAGTTTGATGTGCAAAAGAAAAAGCAAGGATCTTTTAGAGGATGATGTCCAAACAAGGCCCACAGGAGCTTAAACACTCCAGTCAAAAATCTGCCAAACATGGGGCAGGTCTACATGATATGCACCAAGTTCCTTGTAGCATTACAACCACTGAAACACATGCCAGGGTGTAGGGGATGGA